TCCATAAATAATGACCGGTCCCTAATAAGACTGGCATTCCATACGTGTGGGACACGATAATATCCACGCAGCCCCACGCAAAGGTCGGCAAGCGAACCATAGCAGCAACCTTGCAGCAACATATAGCGCCTGCGTACGAAACAGTCGAGCCTGGTGATCATTTATTGGGAATGCCTGTTCATTTACTGGGAATGCTATCCAAATCGCAATTTCGCATATCTAGTAACCATGCACCGTTATGATAGTCACGAGGATGACATGGTAGGTATTAGGATAGTTATGAGAATTGAACAATGTTGGACAAGCAACTGGCATTAACATGCACACGTTAGCTGATCAATGGTCCAACCCTGGTCTTTGCTAAAGTAACGACTTTCAACTTTTGTAGGACTTAGTACATTATACACCTGTAACAGTCCCTGGACGAGTTGGGGAGACCATTTGTGAGGAAGCGACTAAACACAAGACTGACTTAATTATCATTGGTAGTCGTGGTTTGGGCAAAATATCTCGATCATTGTTTGGTAGCGTTAGTGATTTTGTTGTTCGCCGAGCGATTCTTCCTGTTATAGTCGTCCCAAAAGGATGGAAAAGCGAGTGACATGTTGATTGTTAAACTGTTTAGTTAAAACTTGAAACTGTTTTTAACGTAGTTGAAATGGTAGTATATTTAGGTTATGTATAATAAAAATAAAATATGCATTAATATCTTGCTTTCATGATTGCAAAGCCTGCTTCACACGTACAGTATGAGATTAGACCTGTTTATATTAATCAGAATTGCCTGTCTCTATTCTCAAACTGCCTCTCTCTCTCCAAAGGAATCTGGCACTACACGCAGGCTACTCTCTGTGTCGTCCCACTAAATTATCATGGCAGTGTACCTCTATATCAACAAATAACAATTAATATTTCGCACCTTCCGAACTTTCTTGAATTGAATCTCTAGTCTGTATTAATTTACAAGCATATAGCGAACCAGAAGAATGTTAAAAATTCAGAATAACATATCTAATCATATTTTACAACTGTAGCATTTAGTCCAAAATGTAAACAAAGCGGTCTGTTTACATTACGGACTTCACAGCATCTTCAATATATACCTCAATCAACAAGATCTTGATATTTACCTCTATATCCAATATCATATATCCTAATTATACACCCATATCATATATCCTAATTACCTGTCAATTTCGTGCACATATATAATTATTACTTCTGTATAAAGCGAAATTAGCAAGGTGCAAAAATGGTAACTAGGATAACTAACAAATCGAAAAAGAATCCCTGGCGATAGTTTTTGGATGTGAACATTTCCATATGCATCTCTACGGACGAGAGTTCGAACTTGAAACCGACCGTGGACCTCTAGTCTTGGGCCCAAGCCTCTACCGAATATCCTGAATTTGGCCAGCTACGGAAATGTTTATAAACTAATCAGTAACGCTAGCTTCCGAAACCCTACAAGTCCGTGGCAGATGAAGTCTGTGTCACTAATCAAGAAATCCTTCGTGGGAACTGAATCGTCCCACCCTGAGCTAAGATCAAAAAGTGACATGAATAATTATAGACCAATATCTGTGATCTCGACTATTGCCAAAGTAATGGAGAAGGTTGTCCGTGACCAACTTTATCTATATTTGCAAGAAGAAGTCCTACTATCTAACTCTCAACATGGCTTTAGACCTGGACACTCCACTACGAAATCACAGATAGATGGTGTCATAATATTGACATTGGTGAATTAAATGGAGTTGATTCTACACAGTCGATCACCAAATACTTTTTAAAAAACTCAGCTGCTACGGTATAACAGGCATTGTCCACAAATGGTTTTCATCATATTTAGCAAATCTCTCACAGTATTGCCAGGTAAAGGGAAATATCTCGCAACCATTAAAGGTGACATAACATTTTTCAGTATTGCCTCATCTGAAAGAATCGTCAAAACTATAAAGCAACTTCTTTTGCACATTTGACATTTTTGTTTACGTGCTTCCTTGGTGGGATATTCAGTTTTCTTGATATGCAGTGCAAACAAATTTACGTCACACTTTGCATGATCAATTATCGTTAAATGCCAGGTTATCACTTTTATAAGTGATTAAATCGTTTGAAAATTCACATACCGTATGCTGAGGATAATGTAAAGAATACGTATGCAGTTTTCCAAATGACGATGTTGGATAAAAACACGTAAATTATCAAATATTTGGTAGCTCATTATGCAAACTGTGACGTAAATTTGTTTGCAATGCGTGTGAACAAAACTGAATTATCTCACCAAGGAAGAATAAGAAAATCTGTAGAAGAAGTTACTTTACAGTATTGACTATTCGTTCAGATGGGACAATAAAAAAATTCGTGTCATGTCACCTTTAAACATGATCAGTGGAATACCACAAGGATCAATTCTTGACCCGTTGTTATTCCTATTGTATATAAATGACGTTCCCAACTGCTTAATTGGTGGCAACCTAACTGTAATATGTTTGCTGATAACACCCAAATTAATATATCTAGCAACAACATAAACATTGTCACTAATGCATTGAACAACAACCTAAAAAATGTATCTGACTGGTTGATTGCAAACAAACTTAGCCTGAACACCAAGAAAACCGACCATATGGTTATAGAATATAGGATCTTATCACAGATTGAATTTAATAGAATTAGATCCTCCAGTCTATCTTAATACAAATCAAATCCAACGAGTAATAACAACTCTTTGGGTTTAATGCTGGATGAGACGCTAAGTTGGGATGAACAGGTAAATGAAATATTCTTCCCTCGGTTGGCCTGCACGCGGGCTAGTCGACAAGGGTTTGAATATACTAAGGAGATTAAGAGAATTCGCAGACTGATTCAGATTGTCTACAGAACCTTAGTACCAACCATACTTTGAATACTGCTCTCAAGTATGGGGCAGCCTCGGTTCCACGCTTAATGTGTAAGGTCAGACATTCAATGGTTCCAAACTCGTTGTCTAATTTATTCCAAAGAACTGATCAGGAACACGATTACCAAACGAGACAAATGCATTTCAACTATCTCCCGCCTAAACCGAACACTAAACCCAGATGGACAAATTACAAATCGAAGAACATGTCAATTAGTAGCACAACCACCACACCCTGAACCAATGTGTCCCACTGACCCAGAGAACGGTGGGCTTCACATCACCCAAATATTCCCATCACCCAACACAGATTATACTAACAGATTTTCATAAAAACAACAATAAAAACAATCATATAAAAAGATATTGGTTGGACAAAATCAGAAACCAGAAACGTAGAAGATGATGGTATAGCAGAATAACAACCATGGCAAAGTACACCCCTGGAAAACCCACAAGGTAATCACACCACCCAAGAAACCCCACCAAATAAATAAATAATAATCCCAATAATATCCTAGTCCCTAGATAAATTACGAAACAGGGTAACATCGACATAATTTTCGGAATTACTATCTATCTATGTTCTTAGATTATATGCTATATAATATATTAATTTGAGAGTTTATAAAAAATGGAGTCTATAAAAATGTAACATATAGTCGTATGTACGGAATGCGTGCCTATTTGTCTTTTTTATCGACAATAGTTCATGTTAAGAATTATAGATAACCTACTAACTTTAACATTCAAAGCTGATCCTTGTTTGTGTGATTACGTAATGTGCCAGTGGAAAAGTAAAACACAGCTAGAATTTGAGATTAATCAACTGGGGCAACTGAGTCCATATGCAGGCGCGCACATTCCCAAAAAGGTTTTTCGAGGGGGGGGGGGGATTGGAACAGTTCATGTGAAAAAGCATTTTCACATGTTAATCTGACGACGTATGTAAAATTTCCGTAAGGGGTGCAAACAGGGGCGCCTAGCGAAGCGTCTGAAGTTGAGGGAGGGAGGATTTTACCAGAAATTTGAACTTCAATGTTAAAAATTTACCTGAAGTGTAATAATTATAATAGGGCTTTTTCTGATTGATTTCCACTGTCGTTCTAAGTTTCCTAAGAAAAGGATCTGGGGGTCCTCCCCCAGAAAATGTTTGCATTTTTGAGGCTCTAGGGCTGCATTACTGGCGTTTTCTAAAGCAAATTCGCGAACGAATTGGATCTAAATTAACTGTATTTTCATTTCACAAAAATTATGAAATTTACCCGAGTTTCACAGTTTTACACCCATACCTCCCCCCCCCGGTTGCTACGTCCCTGGGTGCAAACAATTGATTTGGACTTTTCGGGTTTTTGTTTAAATGATCTTTAAGGAACATCTAAAATCTCTTTGTTTTAATTAGCACTTTTAATAAGCCAATACGGAGTTTCCATTGCCACAGCTGAACTATAACATATAGCTTCATAGCTGAGACCTCGAGATCGGCCATGCAAGTAAGTGGATTAGGCCTGATCAAAAAGTCTCCGTATCGCCGTATCACTGACTAGTGACTGTCGATGTATGTATAACTGTACCGGTAAAATCATAACCTGGGGTAGTGGGGTATAAATGAAAGTCCCACAAAACGTTATACGGTATGGACTATTTATAACAAACTAAGAGAGATGACTATTCGATCTACAGCTTACAAAGTATGCTATTTAATTTTTCAGTTGGTGACTGAAAACACCAGGTTATTTATCATAAAAGTCTTTTTCACTTATTGGCTAACCATCTGTCAGCAAATACGTCCTTTCGGGGTTTGCGACGCCATCTTGCAAAGTTGGGTGAATACTATAAAAGTAGTTCATTTTCTATATGGTGCCGTAATGGTCCACGGCCAGGATCAGAGTTTGTGGTTATATGTTGGTTACAATCACTGACATATATAATATTATTTAATGATGATGAAATAAATAGTTTTTTGTTGTTGCCGGTTGTTCCAGTTGGGAAAATATCGGTATCGATCGATAAAAAATGGCAAATATCGAGAAAATATCGTATATATCGAATGAAAAAGCTAACCCCAAAAAGGCGTATGCTGATTCAGCCAAATTCTCTGATCGACTTTGGTGTAAACTGCTGAGACTGTTTTATACAAAAACAAATCAATCATTCATGGATCTGCAAGCAGATTTACATGTAAAGACTAAAGTATAATGCATGAGTATAATATTGTTCTTATTGTGTTCAATCAATCATTTACAGGCGATTTACACTTTGAACTAATTTGCACGTGCAGATTCTATATACTGTAGCAGTGTAGGGCAAGCTTTCTTTATAGCTACCACTGACGAGGTGATAGTATTAGGTTTGAAAACAAAATCTCCGTGACAAACTATGGTAATTAATATCATGTTTTAATATTCATATGAAGATAATAGCGGAAGCCATAATCAAGTTGCAATATTGACCTTGTCGACATTGTCATTGTCTGACCGACCACAGCCGCACAGCTAGGAACGATATCTGGCAACTAAAAGATTTTTCCAAAACACAATGGATACAGATCGAATAGAGGCACAGGTAAATCAATGATCAGTTTTAGACCAAAATGTATTTATTTTAGCATTCACTGTGATTTGTGTAGTGTATAGAACCCGGACAGGAGATTAATTTAAAGCTACTATTTCTATACGCCATGTTTGCCCTCGCTCGGGCTCAAGACTCCGACACTGTGCCTGTGGTAGGCGGGAATATATCTTCCGTGTTATTGCCATAAGGCATAAAGATTGTAGTCTTTATTAGTTATAGTGAAGTAGCTGAGAATATAATTAAAATATGAAAATCGTGCGACGGCTTGTATGTAGTATACGTAAGTTATACACTGAAGCTTGGTCCTCGGCCAAAATTTCCCGCCATTATTCTTTCCCGCCAAAATGGCAACCATGCGGACATTTGCGAGATGGAAGAGGTTATTTCGCTGGACTCAGAGCGAGAAAACGTACGAACAGGGCCGCCGAGAGGGGGGGGGGCAAATTGCCCCGGGTCCCGAGTTGCTGGGGGCCCCTGAAAAATTTTTGTTGGGCCCCAGCCTTTTTTGTGTGTTAAATATTTCCGCGCAAAAGACAAGATATCTGTTTTCTTGGGCTAAGTACCGAATTTTGGCATAAAAAAATTAGATAAAGTCCCTCGAAAGAAATTGCAACGTACTCGTCCGGAAAAATTTTGTACTCCGGAAAAAATTTTTTACCCCTAAAATGGAACACTGACCGAAAATTTTTTGGCGACGGGGGGGAGGTTGTTCTCCGGAAAAAAATTTTTCCGGGAAAAATTTTTTAGATAGGGGCCCCTAAAAAAAAATTTGCCCCGGTCCCCCGCCAACCTCTCGGCGGCCCTGCGTACGAAGCAACGGTTTTACTAGCACTAACCCTATTCCAAACACCAACTCTAATCCCAACTCTAACCCTACTCCAAGTTGTTTGTTTCTAAACGGGTTCTAAACGAATCTTGAAGAAAAAAGTTTTGACGAAATGTCATTCTGAGGTCAGCGAATAACTTCTTCCTTGCGGGATCCGGTGGGTGCGATAAAATGATGGCGGTTTATATAAACTTTTTTCTCCTTCACAGCTAACCGCCAATACTTTCTTCGTAAAACCATAACCATCATTTTTCTTATACCCCCGTTGTTTCGGCAAATTATTGAATCCCAGACAGCAAATTGTTTTCCCAGTTGGCGAAACCTGAATTGGATAGGAAGGAAAAAACTAAAATATTGGAGTGAGACTGATTAAAAATTAATAATTATAGCTGAAATGTGAGGAAATGTACGGAAAAATAAGGAAAAACTAAAGGCCCTGTCACACTATTGCGTATATGAGAGAAACGTATGAGAAGCGTTAATGAAATAATTTTCATACGCATAAAATTACAAAAATCCCTTGAAATGCCAGGCTGCCAGCTTATGAGTACCACACATCTGGCGTACCTCTAGCGTATTTAGCATGTGCCTAGAGTATGCTTATCGTATAAACCATTCGTCCGAAGGCTTAAAAAATGCTTGTGTGATGTTACTCTGAGTGTAACGTCACACAAGCATCTTATTCACCTGAGTACATTACACCAACATAACAAATATCATGATTATTAGATTACACTGATATCGAAGGAACTAGATTCCGTTCCGAAATATCCCATACTCGAACCGACCTGACCGCGTAGCTCAGTTGGCAGAGCGTTGGGCTAGTATTCCAAAGGTCGTAGGCTCAAGTGCCCCTTTAAAAAACGAAAAAAGTATTTCTTGAATGAACGCCCTCTTTTGCTGGAAAGAAAGTGCCCTTTTTGCAGTAATAAAGACCGTTTCCGACGTTATAGAGACCCCATATTTTCAAAAAATTTTGTTCGGCTCGTGAACGACATAAAATCGTTTGATTTTGGTCATACACAGAAGTGTCCCATTTGGCCAAAGCCCCTCCTCTTTCGAAATGCTTCCGCGGCCTCTACTGGCATACGCTAGTATGATATTAAATAAAGTGTGACAGGGCCTTAAATGAGTGGCATTACTGCAACCCGAAAGATATAGTGTCCGGAAATGTTAATCAGCGGAAAATTGTTTTGATACGCAATGGAAGACTCGGATAATGTTCACCCATTAAAATAGCAGTATCAACATCGGTTGTTCAGCTTGTTTTCTCTAGCCTGCGCGCAGGGACATCGTCAAACGAGTTATTTCATGTTGGGAATTATTATCAAAGGCAATATAGATCTTATTGGGAAACGGATTCACATCTTCAATATTCCCTTTTCCTGTTGTTCCGATATGCCGCGCTGACTAATAAATATTTTCCTATATTTTCTACAATGTTGAAGGCCTTCCGGTTTTGATAATCGTAAACCAAAATGCCCGGTTTAGACTAGATACTAGAGAGGTTAAGATTGACATTTACGACAGACCGGTAACCGCAAACGGGAAACTTCAAGTCGTATTTTGAGATCAACTGTTAGCTGTTGGATGTTAGGACAATTTGTGCATTAAAATTGAAGAATGAATTGACTAAAAACCTGTCGAAACTATTATTATTATTATTATTATTATTATTATACAATATTAGATACTCCCAATTGGGCTTTTCAGGATCTAATTACAAATATGAAATTCTATATCTAAAAGTATCTAAAAATGAATTTTGAGTTTTGACCTAAGGTATAACATAGGCTATAGTTCTAAAATATTCTATAAATCTGTTAAACACCACTTTCAGTTAAAAATTCTTCTAATAACATACGTTTGTATTCTACTTTAAAATGAGTCAAAGTATCAATGTTTTTAAGAGACTGAGGCAGAGAATTCCACAAGGACACAGCCCTATAGTGAAATGTTCGTTGACCCGCAGCTGATCTGTACATTGGTATATCCAAAATGTTCTTTTGCCTTGTGTTAACGCCATGAACATCCGACCTGACATGGAACTTCTCACACAAATACAATGGTGCCAACCCCTTCAAGCATTTGAAAGCAAAAATGGCTTCTCTTAATTTTAACATGTATTTAACTGGAAGCCAGCCCAGTTGTTGCAGAACAGGAGTCACGTGATCGTATTCTCTTGTTCCTGTAACAATACGTGCAGCAAAGTTCTGGACCGCTTGAAGCTTCTCGATATTTCTTTGGGATGTATTAGACCAGACAGCAGAGCAGTAATACATTTTGCTAAAAATCAGGGAATTTATAATAAGAATTAATGTTTTTCTGTCAAAGATATGTTTAACTCTGCTAATTTGGCCCAATCCAGCGATACAAGATGAAACAACGCTTGCGATATGTTCGTCGTAGCTCAAACATGAGTCCAATATCATCCCTAAATCCTTTGCAACAGCAACTGGGGTAATATTCTCACCAAGGATAGTTATTTGAAATTTTTCAGGTACCTGTTCTAACATTTGCCTAGTACCTAATATAAGCAACTTAGTTTTTTCTGGATTCACCAACAAACTGTTAAGACAGCACCAGGCGGTAATTCTTCGCATGTCTTCTTTGAGTTTCATAGCTGCCAACTCGGCATCCCTGATTGAGAATGCTAAATATATTTTTGAGTCATCCACATACGACTCCAAATTGGACTCCTTTGGTACACCAGGCAAGTCGTTGATATATATATATATATATATATATATATATATATATATATATATATATATATATATATATATATATATATATATATATATATATATATATATATATATTAAATAACACCGGACCCAGTATCGATCCCTGCGGAACACCGCGAGTTATTTCACATTCATCAGATAACACTGACGCAATACGTACTGATTGGCACCTGCCTGTCAAATAGCTTTTAAACCAAAACAACGCAGGCTTCGAGATTCCAATAGTCGAAAGTTTTCTTAGCAGAATGAAATGATCTAAGGTATCAAAAGCTTTAGACAAGTCCAGTAAGAGTAAAGCAGTCACTTCTCTACGAAACCTTCGGAGACTTGTAAAACTTACCTTCAAATGCGAATTGAAGTTTGCCGTTTGCGGTTGCTGGTCTGCCATAAACGTCAATCTTAACCTCTCAATGTTGATCTGCCCGGTGGGCAAACAGTTATAGGGGAATGGGATCCTCCACCCCCACCCCCCCTACTCGTTTGGGGCTGGCTACGCTCCTAAATGAAACTCGCGTCCTGAAAGTCCAACCATCATGAAATTTTCGGTATAATAATTTGAGCATGAAGATTTTATAATTTTGAAGTCCATTTTTGGCAAAGATCTATACGTCTGTTTGCAGTGTAGTTGATAACTTGGATTGGAGAATCATGTAAAACAGGACTTGTTATATAGACCCGTTTTCACATGAATTTTATACTTCGCAATATCTAAAAAATGGTATCAGGTCGTTTCATAATCCAGTCATTTCGTACTCGACTGCCTAGTCATTGTTGTATTGCCGCTAATTCGTACTCTGATTAGTATGTCAAATATTGTGCATGGAAAAGGAGTGGAGTTATTATATGACTCAAAACAGGTTCATTATATAATAAAAGTCGATTAAATAGATTTATTAAAATAACTTGACCTAAATTGCATACTTTCACGAAATAAAATCACATCGCTCAGCAGGTGACAATAGATTTTATTCAATATCCACTCCGCCCTGATACCAGGCCCAAAAGAGAGCAAAACGAGAACAACAGTTGCATTGATAGTTTACAGTACGTCTTGATGAAAGTTGGCTAAACGAAATTAGATTCGGTGTATTTTTGTTAAATTGAGTTTAACGGCTCTTGAAGGATTGTGGTTAATTGTACAAGTCGCTGATAGTTTTATTTATTTTCGTTACCGTCAATTCCAATGTCCATCCAAATTTTGCGACTGCATGCAGGCTAGCGGACTAGACGCTTAACGATGGGGGTAAAACATTCCCGTTCCCCCTGTCTCGCCGTCCTGTGCGTAAAGATCAAGAGTCATGCGTGCCAGCATTTTGTAACAGTGTGTTGCTAAGTTGTCAATCTCGTTCCCAGAGTGCATGTCGTTCGCAGGTTAGGGTTGCTCAACCCTAACCTGCGAACAGGCATGCTCTGGGAACGAGATTGGAAGGTTGGTCAGTATATGAACTTATAAATAATGTATTAGGATGCAGGACCGTAACAATTGTTGGAAACATTATATTCATTTGTTGTTTTCGCACACGCATGGTAAGGTTATGCCTGTACGTTCATACCGTCCAGTTTTCTGTTAAACTTACATGTTTTGTATTAAAGAATGACAATGAAAACAATAAAGAAGACCTTGGATTGAGCTACCTTATTGATGAGAATCCACCATGGTACATGGCTATAATGTTGGGTCTGCAGGTAAGGTGTGAACAAATCGTGGTGAAATTTGGAATGTGGACAAAATATTACTCAACTATTAATATGTCATATAGGATAAATATAGCTTTGCTCCAGACCTGGAAAAAGAGGAATCTCGAGCTCGTGATTCTGAGGAACATTCGGTATTTTTGCAAAACGATTGTACAACATTATTAATTCACACATCAGCTAATGCAATTAAGGTTGCCACTTCAAAGTCGAAACTCACAACAGCAAAAACTGGACCTCTAAGCACGAAAAGGACAATGGATGTTCATTTGTACAATGGGGCACGGAAGTTGTGTTTTTCAATATGCTACGAACAAATAGAAGTATCGACATATACGTATCCAAAATGCTTTTTGTGCTTTAGAGGTCGAGTTTTTTTGCGGTTGTGACTGTTTTGACCTCTGAAGGGTAAATACGTTATGGGAGGAACTTAGGAATCATACTTACATATATATTATTTGACTGATTATTTCTCAAATCATTAGTAATTCATGAACAAAAACATAAGAAACCCATTTAGTTGGTGTTTTCAAACTACTATTACTAAAATCTGAAGTACTAGTACTTTGAAACTACGTGAATTACAACGTTTGAGAAGTCAGTTCAAGTACTCGACATCGGACTTTACCAGGATTTCAAATGCAGTCAAATCTTTGATCTGAAACTGCGGAAAACAACATTGAACACTTTTTCCAGGTCTGTTCATCTGGTTGAGCTGATGAGGCGTTCGTTCAAGCGGCTCATTAATAATCCCTTAATACTTATCGTTCACAGCATTATTTGACAATGTTTGGTGCAACAGTGTCTTTGCCACTCATATTGTCCCCAGCAATGTGTGTGAATGATCCTGTAGTTACTGGAAAACTCATCAGTACTATCTTCTTTGTAAGTGGAGTAGCTACACTCTTGCAAACGTGTCTTGGAAATAGGTAGGTTTTTTCGATTTATTTTCTCTGGGTCGGTATTATAGCGAATACTTATAAATGTGCATGATTGACTGACAAGTTTTCCTCATCCGGATCAGTCAGCCCGTCATCTTTCGGTTGACATATAGAAAAACGTTACACGTGCTGAAACACGCAGTTAATTTACACACGGAAACACGCAAGTTTCTTGCAACGTTCACTTGATTCGCATGACCTCGATCAGAAAACAGGACGTATGTTTGTAATTGGAGCCATGCCCCATTATGCCTCCATGAATATTGAAATTATTCATGCAATTAACTTTTCGTTTCTACAAGAATGAATTTTCCAAATGATAACTGTTAAGTTTTGTAATCTTGTAGGTTACCAATTGTGCAAGGCAGTACATTTTCCTATCTTGTACCTACGTTTGCCATTTTATCTTTACCTGATTATAAATGTCCCAAGGAAATGGAGTCTGGTATGTTCAATAACCATTTTTTGACTTGAAATTATTTTCTGTCGCTATGATGTAAGTAACAAATTCAGTGAACAGATATTTTTTCTCCATTTCACAGATCCTACGAATTCAAAATTTGATGGGATATGGAAAATACGAATTCGTGAGGTAATTTAATAATTTGTAAGACCTCTCAAATAAATTGTCCTAATGAAGTGAGTGCTAGTGTAAAGCCGGTTTTACACTAGCGAATATTCTCGCGCGAAGCGACTTTTTTCCTTTGTCGGTATCACTTATTACATCAGCAACATGTAGCAAAATGGATGCCGGCAAAGGAAAAAGGTTGCTTAGCACGAAAAAATTCGCTGGTGGAAAACCGGCTTAAAAGGGAACAATGATATTCATCGCCATACAAACTAGGCTTGATTACCAGCCGGCATTCGGGAAACGCCTGGTAATCAAGCCTACATACGAATCGAACCAATTAAAGTTCTGCAGGTATTACTTATTGATAGTTGATTATTCATACAACTAATAGTTGATTGTGATTGCCGGAATTGCCGGTGCAACAAATAAATAAATAAAGTATGAAACGATATACAATCCTGGATGGGGAAAGCCTCATTTTGGGAGCCTAACCCCACGGTCCCTTCCAATGGCCCTGAACCCTTTATTAACGAACTAAAGTAATAGCTGGGTTTCAGTCATGTGGTACCTTTGGCGCTTGCATTGGTGGTCAACTCCGAAAGGAAACACAGTTACCAGAACGAGTTAATTGTTCATTATATGTGTTGACCTTGTGTTTGGTGGCAAATGCATGCAATTTAGTGATGCAGTTTTGCTCCCACAAAACATAAAGCGTCAATACGTGTAAAGGTGAGCACCAAGCGTTTCCCCATGTACAAGGCTTGGCGAAACCCACCTATAGAAAGCATTAACTTTGAGCCATAAAATCATTAGACTTGGATCAAGTCCGTCTCTCTAGAGCCCGAGTCGCGAAGCGACAAGATCGATGAAAACGTAAGGTTGTGATGAGTCTTTGGGTGGACTAGTGTATTTTTTTTTTTATTTTTTTTTTTTTTAATTTTATAAACTTCGTCACAATATAAATTACATATCTAAATACTATAATGACTATAACACATTCCGAGCCATCCTTACATGTATCGTTTTCCAGGACAAACAACTGTTAAACCATATTAAAACAGACTAAAACAGACATGAAAACCGCGTAGATGCAATATAACTCGAAATGCACTATAGATCTAACAATACAACAATTTACAACAATTGTGACAGGGTATTCACGACAGCTTTTGGCCAATTACTGTGATCCCATTAGACAACAAACAAATTATCTTAAACTATACAAAGCATTCACATTGTCTCTTAAAAAATTATCATTTAAAAACAGCATGCAAGAGGTTTAGTGAGATCATGAGTCTGATTACACTTTAAACAAATTGTTTTCCACGAACGAGGATCATCTATGTTATAATTAAGTTGTAAAGCAGAGAGGTAGTAGTCAAGTAAATATTTTTTAAAGGTATATAAAGAATTAGATTTATTAGTTATAAGTTTTGGTAAAGTATTCCAGATCCTTGTTGATCTGATTGTATATGACTGTTGGTATGTCGCTGTATAGCATTTCTTCGTGCGGAATTGGAGACAGTTTGGTTGAACAGATCGTGTTGTTCTAACGTTCAGATTTTGCGTAGGAAGGACTGATCTCGGAAGATTTATGGCACCACAACTTACTTTTGCACCACGTACTTACTATTGCACCACGCGTGCCGCTTTGCGGCACAGATACAGATATTTCATAGCACACTCCCTATCAGGGCTTTTCAAGTCTATAAAATCGTTTGAGGACTAAACACCGGTTTACACTATCGAAGTTTCTGCGACCACAGTAGGAATTTAAGGATTTGTAAGAAATGATTGAGGGAACTGACTTAATGACAAACACAGTGTTTGTTACAAGATAATAACAACTTGTTCTACACTTGTCTACGAGTGTAGCTCAGTTGGTAGAGCGTTGCATAGACTAACAAATCAAGCTAGCAATTAAACCAAAGGTTGCGGGTTCGATTCCCACCGTGGTGAAGCAATTGTACAGTTTGTCCGCCGGGTGTATAGAGCCACTCAGAGTAGCACCATCTAATACAGACATCAATGAAAATTGCAAATTGATGATGCTAGGGAGTATCTTAACCTCTTCATTACTTTGCGTTCAACATTGTCTAGATCCAAGGAGCCATCATGGTAACCTCCATAATTCAAATTGTGATTGGTTTCAGTGGCTTAGTTGGTTTTCTCCTGCGTTTCATTGGTCCGATAACTATTGCTCCCACCATCGCGCTTGTTGGTTTGTCGTTGGTGAATGTGTGTCTTACAAATGCAGGTAAATATTGTTTTTATTTAAAAGTTTCGTTAAATACGATGTAGGACGAGCAACACAATTGCTGCAACTTGCAACAAATGCCGATTTTTTATTCATGTACGTAATAAATAGTTAAAATATTCACACATAAATTGCAACAGACGAAAAACGGGCAAATAGTACTACATTTAATTAACATGTACTAGTTGCGGCAATTTTGATGCTCGTTTCACTTCACCTTTAAGTTGGATGTGAACATTTTAATTTTGTGAAAAATCTAATTTTGACGAATATTAATTAAGCCCAAAAAAAACTAATTATGCGTCAACGTTTTTAATTATCATGCGTTAAAATCCGTTAGTTTCAGTGGCGTGCTGGGTACTAGCATTTTCAGGGGCCAGTGGGCTGTCAACCAATATGCGCCCCTATAATGTTACACTTGATAAACGAGGGCCGAAGGCACGAGCCGAGTGCCGCAGGTGCGAGGTTTGTCTAGGGGGGTCCGAGGGCATGCCCCCCTGGAAAATGTTTGAATTTAGAGTCTCTGAAATGCCATTTCCTGGACTTTGGGGGAAGATTTGACAGAAATCTGATGGTCAGAAAACGGCATTATAACGTGTCGAAATTTGCAATTCGGTTAGAATTTAGTAGTAGTACTTAAATTATGCAATGCTAACTACTTCCAGCGATTAATCTAATCCCAATTCTGTTCTCTACTGATCTACTGTTCTGAGTACATTTACAACTTAAAGCTCTTTTATACAATAACACAAGCAACCCACGCATATGCATTTTAAGGTTTCCTTGCCTGGCTGCCAAAAGGGCATGTTTCAGCATTATATCATTGCTTACATTACTCATGCTTCTTGTGCAAACAACTAAATTGCGTACACAACTAAACATCAGTTATCATAACTTCAACTATCTAATTTGCGCCGCTCTCGTGATTCGTGAAGCATAATAAAGGGCATAATATAAGGGCATCATACCAGCAAAAAAGGGCATAATTCCTGTGATCGCTTCGATCGAAACCTGACCAATATTCCGGTAATGAGACATTGCCTGTGATCACTGATCATGTTTCTATATGAACGATTTCGTGTGAGCTGTGAGGTAGCAAATGCGGTTAGGCAAAATAGTCTGTAATTTAATATATGTCGCCTATATGCGCTTAGTCTGTTTTATACTGTAGCCTCTAAACATGTCTTTTCTTGGCGGAAGTAACCATATTTTTTCGAGAATACGTTTTTTTCCACCCACTTTCAAATTTAGGCGCCCCATTTTCATTCTTGCGCCCCCCAAGAATTGCCAGCTGGGGGGGGGGCCGTGGCCCCCTGGCCCCCCCTGCCAGCACGCCACTGGTTAGTTTGCTGCAAGTTTCAGCAATTTATGGCTTGCATTATTTCACTTTTAAAATTGACGCAATGTTCTTTTCCAGGGAGTCATTGGGGAATTGCATTCACGTAAGTTTCTATGATAATCGCAGTCCATTCTGCTGTACAATTATTTTTATCTGCTGTTTATCTTACTAATACTGATTACCAAGACAAAAAGGCACTTCATGACGTTTTAAGTCAGGGATGAAATTTCAGGACGACTTACTAAAGAATCTGATTAAATCATTGCATAATAAACAGAAAGTGCACTGTTATCCACACATAATTGTGAAACATATTTTTTCTCTAGGACTATTGGTCTAATCATTATATGTTCCCAGATGTTAACTGATGTTAAAGTTCCATTCCCATTTTACACCAAAGAAAAAGGCTTTCATACACTAAAATCGCCCGTTTTTCGTCTATTTCCGGTGAGTTCTTCAGTCTCCTATTGTATTTTTCTTCTGTCTCCCATTTCTTTATTTCGTGGAACTTTTCATGGAAAATACATTTTGCATTGCAAAGCACGTCTTACACTGACCTAAATACTTCATGAAACTGGACCTGATTATGATGGTAAAAATAGCACAAAGACCACGTGTGTGGCGGTTGGTGCAGTCCTAGACTTCGCCTAACATGTGATGAGAATGAAATGTCTGGTAAGAACTAATAGGAAGCTATTGATTGAGCAAGTGGCGCATGAAGATATATTATGATGCCATTGCTGTCAAAAGTCGAACCTACTTGTGTCCTGTGCAAGGGACTGTTGCAACCTGTCTGATAATAATTTGCTGTGTTTTGCTGTGTTACAGGTATTAAACCTGTATGCTGTTACGCACAGGTCTATGGCGGAATTGCGAGACAAGTTGCATGAAAAATTTCATCTTTGCATGCACTCAGTTCCTTATTAACCTATATGTTTCAGGTTATCATAGCTATAGTCACAACTTGGATATTTTGTGTTATCTTAACCGCTGCTGGAGTATTTGATCATAATTCTAGTGCCAGGACAGATGTTAAATCGAGCGTGTTAGCAGATTCACCTTGGTTTCGAGTGCCGTATCCAGGTAATGCATGAATATCCAATGACTAACACTCATTGAGTCAGTCAGTGATAATTAGAGACCTTACGATTTTAGGACCGCGACGGCGACGGGTAAAACAAACTCCTTCAAATAAATGGTAGTAGAGATAGTTTGTCGTATATTATCAATCGTATGAATTTAATACAGTTTTAGAAGTTGAAGACATGGGTTTTATGGTTGGGAAGAGTTCTGCTAAACCCAGTTTGAAGTTGCACTTGTTGTGGCTTGGAATGCAGCCGTTGTATCAAGACGTGAAAATCTGTGATTTAGCGTTGTAAACAATGTCTAAAATTATTCATATATTGTAATTACTCAATTCTTTTCAATGATCTATTGTATTGGTAGCCGTTGCCATCGCGTTGCCGTCTTAAAATCGTAAGGTCTCTATTCCACAATACGTACAACGCACAATGCACCACTGATATGAAATCGGCCCGACAAAAATCAGTGTGGTGCCCTAGCGCATGCGCAAAACACATGCATCACAAGCGCAATATGCATGCTGATTGTAGTGCATGCAGAATTGCGGACGTGTATTATCACGTGTTAAAACATTGTAATCCGAGGTCGATTTAAACTATATAGACAATCGAAGGAATGAGTTAGGATTAGTTAGTTACCCAGGCTATTTTCTCTCACGCTTTGGTGCGGCTGGTGCCACGGCCACTGGGGACGAGGATGGGTTAGTTACTGTATTTGATAGATAGATATAGTCATTTAATGTCGATTACACAGGGTATGGTTGCCTAATCGTATCATAAAACTTGATAGGGATGCAACTACCTGAGAAAATACTGACAAGGAGCGCCTTTGACGTTCTCCTTGTATTTTTCAGGTATTTGCATTCCTATCAACCGACGTTTTGTTACTACCTAAACTGGCACAGACCGTTCAAAATTCTAATTTTATTATATTACCGAAATCAGTAGAGTGTCTTTTCCGGAAGTTGAAAAGACAGTCAGAAGCCAGTAGAAACGTTCATGTTTTATGACGTCACGGTGAAGGAATGCAGCTTGGAACTTGTATGTTATTTTACTTATTAGTAACTTTATTATATTATTTAGTTTGACAAATTGCCAATATGGCTCTTTTCCATAAAAAAAACCTTCAGAAATAAACTCATTTGCGCTTGTGTCGCTTCCAACCACTCTTATTAGGCTGTCCTGATATAAATTTGTGGCGTGTTCACAGTTCACTAACTTCACTTTCCACGCTGCATTCCTTCACCGTGACGTCATAAAATATGAACGTTTCCACTGGCTTCAGACTGTCTTTTCAACTTCCGGAAAGACACTCTACTGATTTCGGTAATATCTGCCACCCGTTCTCAAAGCCAGATCAGTTTAATAACTTTGCTAAACTTGTGTTGCTCTAAATTCTCAATGATTACCTATTCGATCTCTTGTCAGGTCAATGGGGAACACCAACATTGAGTTTTGCTGGTGTTTTTGGCATGGTTGCTGGGGTTATAGCAGGAGTAGTCGAGTCTATTGGAGATTACTACGCATGCGCAAGGATGTCCGGTGCACCACCGCCGCCACCACATGCTATCAATCGAGGGATTGGGATTGAAGGTATTGCATGTTTCATTGCGGGCGCTTTTGGAACTGGAACTGCAACAACTTCATTTAGCGAGAATATAGGAGTGATTGGTATTACAAGGGTAAGCATCTCAATCCTGGTTATTTGCATACAGTATATATTTCGCAATATTATAGCTAAGGTAACGATCATTACCGCACGCCCATTATTAAACATTAAAGCATGATGAGCAGCCGACCTATATCGGATTGGATTTATTGTAAGATGAATTGTAAAACAGGTAAATGGGACGGTAATAATTTATCGGTAATTTCCAATTCAGGTAGCATCTTTAAAACCTACTGTTATAGATCTTATAGGTAAATATCGAACTTTTCCTACAGACACTTCAGCTAGTAATGCAGACATCCGAGGTCTATATTACGAACAATTTCCAACGACCCGACATGCATGAACATGCAACACCTCTCTGAAACGGACATTTTGCTGCGTCCCTTCACTGTCTTTGCTCGAGGTGCGACTCAAGAGAGGTTCATAATTTACTGCTCACTGGCTCAGGACGTATCTGATTGGTTAAACGGGTAGATTAAATTCATCTGATTGGTCAATGGTAGCAGTAGTCAAATCTAAACTTTCCATTCTGTTAGGTTGGCAGCCGTCGTGTTGTTCAGATTGGTGCATTATGTATGATCATCTTGGCTTTGTTTGGTAAATTTGGCGCATTATTCTCTACGATTCCCCAACCTGTCATTGGTGGAGTGTTCGTAGTTTTGTTTGGAATGATATGTGCTGTTGGGTTGTCAAGTCTGCAGCATGTTAATCTTAATTCGGTCCGTAATCTTTTCATTGTTGGTTTTGCTTTGATCATTGGTCTAGTTATTCCCGAATACCTTCGCCAGCACCCGGACACTATTGATACAGGTAAGGCCAGTTCAACTTTTTTTTCTCTGAGGTCCAGTAAGGGTTTCTCAGTGATAATATGTCTGGTTATTCCCAAATAATTGAACAGTATAACTAATATAGTGTATACTGATATAGAATAAAATGAATCTGCACAGCTGGAATGTAGCTTGCTCGCAGCCCGAAATTTCGTTCAAATGAGAACCGGAAATTTGAATTCAAATTTTCGGGTGTGGGTTGCTGAGCAGGCTACTGGAATGATGCTCATCGAATATTATAATAAAATAAGCTTAAAGGTAGGGTACAGTGCGTATGTAAACAAAGCCTTTGTTTACATTTCGGTATTCAAAATATTTAACTTTATTCGACAACTATTTATGTTTTCATGCTTCTACAGTATAAATGATCAAGATACAACAGTCAGGCTTTGCAACCTAATTAAAGTGTTTATATCATGGCAGGAGACTCCTATGTGCGCATGCGCAGACCGGACTGTATAAGCACTGAGATCACAGATCAAAGCATCTTTTCAGAATTTATTAATGTCAGCCACTAATGACGAATATTATATAAAATACTGTATAGAAATGGGTTTTTAAACCAATAGACCTTTATATGCGTAATGACGTCACAAGGTTTAATGCCCGCGAGGAATGCTGGTCTTAGTAGTTATCACCCGGGAAAATCAAACAATTTAAAATGCATGGCCACTATCGAAATTTTCCCGGGCGATGACTACTAAGAAGTAAGACCAGCATTCCTCGCGGGCATCAAGCATTGTGACGTCATTATGCATAATTATTTGTCTATTTGTCCCAACATCACATGCATGTGCACACGAACATCAGTACATGCATTGGAATGGGAACTTTGTAGAGGAAGAACCTCTCCCGGGATAAATCGTAGAACAGAGTTTCTTCCATTAGGATAACAATAGACTCAGAATCCTTGATTAATGTTTATAAATAATAATTTAATATAAATATTGCAAATATAATTACCATATATCATGAATTTTTAGAAGACTTTTGAAAGTTAATAAAGGACTTGTATTGAAATTAAAAAGCAGTTTGATCATAGACATAGGAATCGAATCTCCTATTCTTCCAGTGAATACTTAAGGTTACAGAACACCTTTGAGTGTTAATTTTGCCTAAAATTTTTTTATTGGTTTCCATGAAAGCATTAGACTAGTTCTACTATCTGACAAAGTTTGAACGAAAAATGTTGAAAACTCGCGGAGTTATTTAATAAAATACATTTCGCTGCAATAAGAAAAACATTGAAAATGTAATATTCAAATTCAATTTTCTCCCGAAGATTTTACGGGTAATTACTGATTTTCAAACGAGTTGTGCTCCTGCGGGTTTTGACCAATTTTTCTCAAATTTTCACAGGACATAGCTAAAGACGTCAGTTTCAAAATTGTGTTCGGCTTTTTCTTAGTTTTGGATATTTTAATAATAAAGAGCAATTCACTCAAATAATTCAGAAATATATTGCAGTCGTCAAAGAAATCGCCATATCAGCGGAATGACGAAATAAACAAAAATTTCCGGACACAATTTTTTAGAACAACTATTTTACTGTATAAAAATGATATTTTCATAAATATAACTTAAAACCAGCAGGAGCACAACTCAAAAGCGTAACCGGTACCGCGATTTAAGATTTTCCTGAATAATTCTTATATTATTTTATTGTTTGTTAATTTTACAACTTTACCATATTGTGCATGCACTGGAGAACATTTGGTGAAAATTTGATGAAAATCGGACTGATATTGAGCGCGCAGTAGCGATTTTCCGCAAAACGCCAAAAAGGGTGTCCTGTAACCTTAAACGACTGCCTGTGGCTCATAAAATTCACATATTATTTGCCTCATCGTTTAGTATCTTTTTAATTTTATGAACATATTACAGATATATATGCATGTTATCCCAAATTGGATCTGCTATATTTACAGTTCTGGGGCCGGTTGTTCGAAGCCCGTTTAGCTTAAACGGTCATGGATAAGTCAAACTATTAAATAACAGATTCACACAGTTTGTAAATGACTGAACTTAAATCTCATGCACTAAATGAGGTGTATATATAGTTGCAAACATAATTGTTCTGCTCAAGTTGAAATACTTTAGTTTGGTTATTTGATGAATGTATAAACTTGATCAATATTTTCGACTTATCCACCGTTTAGCCTAAACGGGCTACGAACAACCGCCCCTGATCATATGCATGTAGCCTGTTACAGAAAGCGTATACAGTCTGCAACACAGGGATGCGGATGATCGAGTAAACTATACTGTAATCTCATCTGAACTAAAATGGACCCTAATAAAAGGTTCAAAAGCCCGTGTTATTTAGTCATTTTTGGGCGAGGGTTTGCATTCAAGTGTATTTCCATAGTAACACGTATTTTTCTTATTTATTTAAGGAGTCCCCGAGGTGAATCAAATATTTACAGTTCTGTTCGGGACAAGCATGGTGGTTGGTGGCATGGTTGCCCTCATCTTAGACAACATCCTCCCTGGATCAGACGAAGACCGGGGTATAATAAAATGGCGTAGTTTGATGACGGAACAACGTAAAGGAACTATGGCCTCTATTCATGTTTATGATCTACCGTTTGGTATAACAAGTAAATGGACATTCGCCAAGTACATTCCATTTTTGCCGTATTATCCTGAAGATGGCGAGAACGATGTACATCCTGTTGCAGATTCCGAGATCCAGTTCCCACAACAGCAACAAACTTTCCTTTGACATTCAAAGTCTTACTTCAACGTTTTTTGTTAGGAATATTGTGTGAAACATTTACAACTTTATAAAAAGCATCGCTCATTTACAAAACAGAGCAAAACTGATTTTGTACATGTGTTTTGTTGTAGGGGCTAACTCCAAATTCAAAACTCCAAAATTTAGTTGAATTAATAATTTACTTAATATTATTAAATTAATAATTACAGACCAACTACAAAAAGTATATTATATGCCTTTCTACATAAACCTAGCGTTATTCCAAAAATTATGTGAAACAGTTATCTAAGCCTGGAGTTAATGGCTGTCTAAAAATAGTTACATATGTCAGTCGCTCCATGGCTCCCTAACTTAATCTGCAGCCATGTTTCACACTATATATACCAACTAGGTTACCCACAGGGCAGTAATGCTGCCTTTGACAGCAAAAGACAAACTACAGGGTGTTGAACGAGTCCGAAACATCCTATTATTGTTTAGCCTGCATGGCAGGCGGTTCCTAAAATTGGGCAAGCCTGGGAAATACCGCCTGTCATACGGGCTAATTATTGTTATCCTTGTTAACCCATTTATTGACAGTACCCTACCACTGACTGAGTATTAAAAATCCTCTGGCGTTGGACAGGGTAAATACTAAAGTAGGGATCATTACTGTGCTGATGAATTAACAAGAGCCATTGGTAGATAGGTTTGTTAACCCATTTACTGGCAGTACCCTATACCACTGACAAGTAAAATCTTCTGACACTCGACAAGGGAAGGGCGCATTGCCAGCTAATGGGTTAAACCACCGTGGTTAAACATAAGATTTCATGATGCTCCAGGAAATGTAAACAAGCTATCAGTGTGACATCCCAGTTTATATATTTATATACTCGGAATATTGATTTCTCGGCATATACAAAATTATTTTAAAGTATAACAACCAGCGAAGACGTAAGGCACTAACTACCCTGCACGGCTGCGCGCAGACTATATAATGACATATATATGTCATCCGTCTGGTCCGTCCGTCATTCATCCGTCCGTCCATATCCACGTTTTATCCTAACCCGTTTTTAAAACACAAAGTTTGCATTTGTTAATTCCTATTTCTATTAACTGTGATCAAAGAAAGCAAAAATATATACAAGACAATCTCACATGTGGAGTTTTTTCACTTACAGTACGTACTGCCTTGTGATGCAGTACAAGTATAATTTATACTTGTACTGCATCACATTTGTATAAATACAAATGACAAAGCATTTGTAAATCCTAAAACATAATTAAATCATACGGCACATTTAAGATTTTAATATCGTATTTCAGCCGCGTTTATACTGTTTGGCGCATTCGCTGCGTTATATTCATTTACATGTATATACACAGAAAAGCATGTCATTGTCCTTGCAGACCATAGGCAAAAAGCATTTGTCAACCATGCACATACCAAATTTAAGCAATCGTTAAATCATATACATGTCATGGAAAGAATATGGAAATAATGTTGAATGAAAGCTAGCATCGCGTATAATATTAAAAGCACCGCATATAGTGCTCGAACCACTGCGTATAATTGCAAAAGCATCGCGTGTATATAAATGGTGAAAGCACCGCGTATAATACTGGAACCACCGCGTATAATGGCGAAAGCACCGTGTATAATGCCAAAAGCACCGCCATATAATGCTAAAAGCACCCAACAAAATGCCGTTTGATCACTTTAAGCCAGCTATGGCTTTCCATAAAAGAAGACCAAAGATGAAACATGATCACATTGCCTGTTTGCCTTATGCCTGACCGCGCTGCACCACGGTTAAAATTCACTGGTACCGTCATGCAATGCGCCAAATAGAAAATTTTGATTTCGACCCACAAAACAAAATTAGGATCTGCTGCCTTGCTCGCTCGCTCGCTGCGGCAGCAATAACTCAGTATGCGGTATAAAAACAATACTGTCTTAACAATACAGCGTGCAATGAGACGTACGAACAGAGATTGTCTAAAGCCAGTACGGCAGTAGTTACTCGAGAGCAAAATTCAGTTTTTGTATCATCAGCAAAATTTTGTATCATCAGGCTGCATTCCAGTTACGCGTTTTTCATACGTGACGTAAAAGTTGAATTCGCTTAAAATTTCATATAAGTGCAAATAACCTTAACAAATACACATTAAATCATACACAAAACTGAATGCCGTCCTTTTATAAATTTAGTTATTTCATAAGTAGGATGTAAAGCGAATTCAACTTTTACGTGCGTGTACGTACGTATGAAAAACGCGTAACTGGAATGCAGCCTTTACATTCAACTTTCACATTTCTGGCTCGGAGTGTTGTTTCTTTCTCATGCTGCATGGCCATTCCTCAGGCATTATCCTGTCACGAAAATAAGTTTGATTTCATTGTGTCGGATCAATTGGTCACACAGTATAGGTTTTCTGCTCGGAGGAGCTTGGGTGCGTATCTTGATAGGTGACCGTCTAGGACATGGATATGCCCATATACATACAGCATTATAGGAAAATACCAGGCACGATTTGCGCAGTGGCGTAACTCCTTTGGGCGCCGCCCTCAGGTCATGCGTGATTCGTATCTTTATTGGGACATTGCTTCAAAGCCGGGAGTGTATTTGATATATGTCCCTGCAGAGAAAATATGGGACCAATCGCATTTGTAACCATTAGTTTATACCTAACTTACCATTCTATATAACATCTTTGTTAATATTTAGAAATTCCAAAATATTTAATAGAAAGAGTGAACGTTGGTTGTACCAATCTAAAATAACTCAAAAGATGAAAGCAAGCCACGCCCAATGGCAATGTATGCACCAACTTTCAATGTACAGCTTTTTAATATAAAAAGGTACGGTAAAATCGTTTACCTATAGCTAAAAGTCATTTTATTTTACACTAAAATGTTTTTCTACATACGTGATGCGATAATATTCGTTTACATTTTCCAGCCCTTTCTCGGGCATGCGTCAAAGCTTGCGTTTGATATTTATATACATTGGTTAACTTTTACTCGTTTCCAACCACCAAATCGACATGACGTCATTTTCGCAATTTTTCAAATTGATTCTTTTTTAATTTTCTTGATTAATTTGGTTACGGTTAGGTTAGGGTTAGGTATGTTACATAGCCATCTAACACCTCTTCCAACTTCCGACAACAACGTCATGTCATTCCGGTGGTTGGAAATGAGTATACTGCATGAGTATAACCAATGTGGTCACATTGGTTATAATTTTAGTTTCACGTGTATATTGATTTCACTAAACACTACTGCATGTGCAGCAGATGATGGTGGCTAGCTGCAGGAATGGTCAGAGGTGCAAAAAAAAGTAATACGAGTTGTTATCATTAAATGTGGAATAAGTATATTCAATGGCAAGTATATAAAGCCTCGGTCAAACTAGGATGAGAGTTGACTGAGAGTTGGCAGTCACGCATTATATACGAGTGTTCTATATAACCATGTTTTAATTTAAATACACTGGACATGATAGTGTCGTGAAAACATTAAGAACAGCTAACCAAGGACCGTGACTGCATGCCAACTCTCATGCGCTCTCATCCTCATTTCATTTATTAACTTCAGCCATCAACAGAAATATAAACATATGCAAACAGAAAGACGGTTCAGGAACACTAACACATGCAGCGTGAGCCAAATACGTTAGTGACCTGTTACAAAACATCGTTATACAAAACTTCACAACTTATAATTTAAATATCAAACAAGAATATAGTATAATCCTTTTTATCCGAAGTAGAGAGAGCGTAAAAAAATTCAAAATTTGGAAAAAAAAATGACAAAATTGTCAAACAGAATAAATGCGAGAATATATATAGATTCTGTATCCGTCGATAAAATAAGACGAAAATGGCGAAAAACCCAACTCTACATCGGATAAAATGAAGTATACTACACTGAATAATTGCCAAAATAACTAGTTCAATTAAGAACAACATTTCATTGTTGCAGTAAGCTGCCTGGCTTTATGGCATTTCAGACAAACTGATCCTCGTTTGATCCAGGCTTAAAAAATAGAAATATTAATTTGATTTGCTACACTTAGAAGTGGACCATCTACTGCACAGAATCCTTGCTGAGATCCACCTTTTCGACTACCTTAACAGCGTATAACAAAACATTGATGTGTATTGCAACAATTAATAAAGAGTAATATATAGTTACGTTGATAATTTATACAGACTACACTTTGCATACGAGGTCTTTGAAGCCTCGACGAATACTTATGACAAACTGTGTAAAATCATTGGTCTTGTTTAGATCGTCTGTCAGATCTGTGAGTTGATTAATCATTGGAGAACAATCTTTGACTACAAAATAAAGAAAAACAGTTGATAATTTCTTTGTTTTGTCTATACAAGCCGCCAACGAAAAAATCCTGCTTTCCACAAGGAGCTTGAACTTGTAACAGCTAGCCAGCGTATTAGGGATGTGCCGGATCCGGATATCCGGTAAAATTTAGACATCCGGTATAAATTTGCCGGATATTTACCGGATAGTACTGTAAGATATTTTTACTTGGCGACTTTAATAAATTTCAAACAGCTTTATCAGATTTGAACATGCAAAATCAAATAACAAATGTCCGTTTTGAATGTCAAACAATTTCAGAAAATATCCATAAACTAAATAAAGCAAGAAGAATTTAAGGACTTTCAAGGAAATTCAAGTTTTGTACGAACCCTGTTACATAGTGTCCATGGATGATTTTAAAAATTCTAATTAACCTTTTCATCTTAAGTTATTATTGTATATATATACTGTATATAAATAGATATTCGTAATTAGGAAACGATGTATCTCTATTTAATCTATTATGCATGTATAAAACAAGGTTAAGGCTATTACTGGACATGTCATAAAGTATACATAATCAATCTTTTATTTAGAGGTCAATACTCTATACGTATGGCACTCTATAAAAGGAACTTCGGGGAAAGGCCTTCGTCTGGGAATTAGACAATTTAAAACTAACTTTGCATTTATTTATTTAACTTTGCCAACTAGGGCAGGGGGCAGGGTCACCACAACAGCATATGCCAATTACTGTGGGCCCTTTTACCTAACCCACCCTGCCAACTTTCCCTGTGGGAGGAAACCGGAGTACCCGGGGAAAACCCACGACTTTCGGCAGGGCGTTGACTTTTTACTCTTTTCACATGAGGACTGGGTTCGAGTCGCATTGGGAAAGTTCTCACTGAGGCTTGAACCTGCGGCCTTAGAGGTGAAAGGCAAGTGCGCTAACCACTTCGCCACCGAAGCCCCTGAACTTACTTCGAGAAGAAGGGCCTTCTTCAAAACATCGAAGTTCTTTTTATATATTTCAAACAGTCATTAAAGGTCTTCAGTAGTCTCGCAGCCGCTATTTATGTCGTTCCTTCCCACCTTCAACCAAGCTCATGACTATTGTTCGTATACTGTAGTTATCTATACACTGGTAGTTAATACTCACTGTTATATATTCCAGTATTTTCATCCACCTTGACAGTGAACGAAAAACGAGCTTCAGGGTTATTTGGGTCGATGTACTTGAAAACAAACTTCAAGTGATCTTCTATAGAAAAATATACTTGAGAGTAAGTTTAAAATTGTAGTTTTCTGTATTGGATTGATGAAGTAACAGTAAATAAATGTTATGTGTCGAAGTCAATACATAGTTTGCATTATTGCATGCAGTCTTATTTAAGACGTTTAATGAGGCCAAAAAAATATGTGGGTTTCCGGTTTCCCGACCCTACCTAGCTTTTGGACGCCGAAATCCCGACCCTAAACTTTTCATTGGATCATGCTTGTTAGTGTTTCCACTTAGAGGAACACGTTTGTGAAAAATGGAAATTTGAGGCAATATTAGGGAAATTAATCTTTGAATGTAGAAGCACTGACTAAACAAAATGGGGTCCGGTTGTTAGCAAAATTAAAAAAAAAGTTTAAAAAAAAAGTTAAAACCGACCTACCCTACCTAAGTTTTTACAAGAAGAAATAGGAAACCCACATATTTTTTTTTGGCCTGATAAATAAGTGTTCTGTGAGCAAAGACAAAGCTGGAAAAGTTCAAAGTTCGTTTGGCTTCGCCTACAAGTCCAAAATCCTCTGTGCTCAAAACGTTTTCTTAGCAGCTTTTTGTACCGACGAAATAAATTTTCGCGGCAACGTATAGCCGTAGTTTTCACGCAAATTATCTCCCTCTTAAGCGAAAATCTCATTTGTGAAAAGCCAGAACCAGCCGACAATTTAAGAAAATAAATATACAATAAAAACCGAAAAATGAATACATGGAAATCTTGAAAAACACAATACATGGACTAAAAGCAAGACGTAAATTTAAATGGTTCTATTTCGATCCTATTACAGAATCATCGTCACACCAAGTGCACGAAGCCAGTGGATCACGTGATCTTTAGAACAATTAATGCGATTGGTTAATTTTTGAAGAATGTCTCATGTCCAAACTTTTGCGACACTCGATCAAATTAATTTATTCCCAAGCAATCAACACATACTTTGACAAATTGAGTCAATCAGAATTTTAGAAAACAGTAAAGAGAAATACTATTATGCGTATATATACTGTGCATATACTGCTGTTGCAACTTGAAATGGTCGGATCAGTATTAATTAAAATTAAAGCATCATCCCTTACTGTCAATTTTTTCGAATGCAAATCCCAGAAAATCCTGAAAAAATGATATGCCCTTGGTGTACTGGTTCATCTTTAACATTGTTTTCTCCTTTGCCTTTTGAATAACTGCAAATTAAAGAATAAAATCTATTTTATGTAATGGACATTTTAAAATCCAACACTTATAACTTCCCATTGGATCCAATCCCTGAAATGAGGATTGAAAAAAATAATGGTGCATGATGGGAATGATCAAGGCTCAAAATCCCACAATGTACCCTCACTGTAGACAGGGTCTCTTTTAAACATAAACTGGGGGAGGGCAAGTCTTCCCCAGTCCAATGTAGCCTCCCCCAGTAAAATATGTTGGCCCGCCCATAATGAAGGTCCATTTTAATCAAATCCCTGTCAAGATGAAATATATCAAAACGTTATGTGATGAAATGTATCACACAAGGTGTGTGTGGAAATGCAGGAAATCAGCGCCAGGGGCCGGTTGTACGAAGGTCGGATAGCGCTATCCAAAGGATAGTGATTTTTTCAACCTCTGTAAAATGCTTGAAAAACTGTGAAACTATGGATATAGACGACACAAGAAGTATAAAAAACATTCAACTTATAAATACTAAACTTTAATACAAGTAAAACCAAACAACGATTGATTTAACGAAGCTTGAAAAAATCACTATCCGGTGGATAGCGCTATCCGGCCTTAGTTCATATTTGTGCGGATATCTATTGTTCTCAATAGGGTTTTATTTGGGTAAGAATCTAAAAGCAAGGGGAGGGATTTGATATCTCCACAAGGAAAAGCGGGGTTGATGAATAGAATTGAATGCCTAATTAAAAATGCAAGGTATCTAACTCCATAGTGACCACTTTTAGAGGTCACTATGGAGTTAGATACCTTGAATTTGTAACAAAACTCAAACCCCACATCTCCTTTTCGACTAGAAAACGCTGCAATTGAATGCCTAATTAAAAATGCAAGGTATCTAACTCCATAGTGACCACTTTTAGAGGTCACTATGGAGTTAGATACCTTGAATTTGTAACAAAACTCAAACCCCACATCTCCTTTTCGACTAGAAAACGCTGCACGTCTCTGAGTCGAGAAAGAGACAACAGCCGTGTACCTCAGAGCCCGTCAAACTCTACCTTTGGGTAGGAGTATTTATCATTCGGTGCACGAGGACTAGCTGAACCAAGCACCAAACTTGCTTGTGCAAGCACTTTATACAGTAATATCTGCTCTTTCGCTTGTGGGACGCGAAATGATATACTACGCATGCTCAACCACATTAAAGCGTGTTTAATGTGATGTTCAACCTTATTTTGTCCCACAACCATAACCTCCCGAGGACAATAGAAAATGGATATAAACATAAAAACCTCATGCATGGTCGGTCTTTCATTGAAATTCAAGAAAGACCTCCCAATGAAAGACCTCCCATTCTGTTTTTATCCTATATATAAAACCCTGTTGAGAACAACTTGAGAATCTCTGCTTCGACAAACCCGTACAAATCTTCGTTAGCGCTTCTCTGTTGTATGAGCTATTTCAAACATATTTCATCGTAATTGTGGTTGGTGAACGAATATTCAATCACTTCTCATTGATAGTATACAGTAATGCGACACGAGAATTAATGCACATCAAATGCGAAAGCCCTGTTTGTTTTTATTACAACCATGGTAATTCAAACTCATTTAAAGAACAATACATATCATAAAGTGAATTTCATTGTGGGTCAATCCTTACAAATATGAACTAAGTTAGTTAGATACCTCAAACGTCGGCTCTTAGTCAGATAAATCCCTCGGGGCCTACGGCCCCTTGGGTTTGTATCTGACTAAGAGCCTCCGTTTTCAGTATCTAACTCTTACTTCGTACAACCGCCCCCAGAAGTTCAAAACTGATTTTTTGGAGGTGAACCCCTAGATCCCTGCAGGCTCGCATTTCATAGATACCAAGACAGTTGCGGACTGAGAGAGATACAACTGCTTTAACAATATAAGAACTTCGACGTTTCGAAGGAAGGCCCCAATCCAGGCTACTAACTTCCCGACGAAGAGTCTTCGCTCGAAACATCGAAGTTCTCATTTTTTTCAGGTAAGTGTCTCTCAATCCGTAGCTGTCTTTTTATTGTCGCTACTAGATATTGTTCTCATTTTTAATCGCCAGATGAAGATAAGCGTACGAAGCGTTGATGCATGTTGTGTAAGCATAGACAATCCAAAAGACAATCATCTTCTGGATTGTCTGTTGTGCAAGTAACTGCGACAATGTCCGTAATGAGGATGTTATTATATGTTAATTAAATAATGCATATGATTTCTGGCGCTGTCGTCAGTTGTCTGTATTAGAGAGGATCTGTTTTAGAGTTGTATCTATAAGGAAAGCTTTACCTTGTTCTTCTTGTATGTTTTGTTTCTTGGCATCATCAAGCTGTTTCTCTCTCAATACGGTTTTCTTTGATAGCTGTTCAGCTTGAAGATGCAACATCTCAAGTTCTTTCTCAATAGAAGATACGATGTTTTCTTGCTCACATTTATCTAGTAGTGGAAATATATAAAATGTGCAAACTACCAAATAATATCATTTACCATGTTCGTGTCAAAGAAATATGATTTTGGTTACCACTTCACAAAATACTGAGGGTAAATGTATTCTAAACCTTTTGTTACTGCAAATATCTAAGTCCTGAAACCTCTTTTGTGCAAATTTAATGCTATCTTGCTGACTACTAGCCATTCAAGTTTATAAAAACTCTTCATTGTTACAACTATCATAGACTTTGAAAGATATCGGCGTGTGCAGTAGGTGCGTACTACCCAGAGAATGCCCTGATGTCCACGCTAAATCGTTTAAATTACAGGAAATGGCACAGAATTCTACTTTTCTGATGGCCCAGCATCATTTAGGGCAAGCCATACTTCATACATTATAATATATAATATAAGATTTTCAATAACTGTTAGAACATGCAGTATTTTTGAACCAGTTGAAGTAAATCCTAGTTCATCTCTGCTACCACAGAGCATAAGAAATATGTCTTCTCGAAAAGGTGCAAATATTGGATGTGCGAAATTCCACAGGCTTGGAAGACAGTATTAGCGGAAAGTAAATTGTTTATAGAGCCTCGTTTTCGTGATTGAGATATTGGGTTTAGACGCCCTAAGCCTTTATTTTATTACAGCTTTAAAGACACATAAAAATAATATTATCTAATTAGAATGTTACAAAAGACATTGATATAATTAGGTTATCAGTGCACAATAAAGAGCTCTAATGCCGATATCACACCCCAGACCAAGTGCCAGAAAGGTATATTTTAACAGTTTCATGTACAATATGTGCAAATTTATCAAGCTTTCCTTTGAAGTATGGACTACCACTGAATGTAGTAGTATATTCAAAAAGCAGTATAGTAGGTAAATTGACAAATTCTAAATATATAATAATGATCATGTTTTACAGGTTTAGGGAGAGCAGAGTACTTTTCAGGGGGAGGTTGAAGTATGCGACGCAGGCTAGGGGGAGGGGGTGTCTAAAAATCGTCAAGATGTGATCTTACTAGAGGGTGTGGGGGCATGCTCCTCGGATCCCTCAGCTTTGGAGACCAACGTTTACGTACGACTATAGTTGATTACCACGGAATACTACTGTGTACAATTCCTATTGAAATTGTCTAAGTATATTTATCATCAACTCTTCAAAACCCTCCTTCCTTAAAAACTCTAATTAATATTATTATTATTACTGTAACTTGGAGAGAATCAGTCTTAGTTTTTATCGTTAATTTTAAATACAATAGTTATGAATACCAAATAAATTTAGTAGAGATTTTATGTATACACACAAACCACCCTGGGCTACCGTTTTTAAATAAGTTTAGTTAATATTTGACGAGCCAAAACAGGTCGTGTGCCTGTCTGGCCGTTATATTTCAGATCCTGATGCTACACTGTACTTCGGAATGCAGCAGGGGCAACCTCGTATCCAGGGCTTCTGCGCTTATTGCTCTACTGCAGGGCGTCGGAACCACGGGGGCAGCTGTACCCGCTGTCCTATGCTAGCGGGGGTAGCCGTGTGCCCTACGCATATTTAATGAGCTGATGCCTAAATTACAAAAGCTAATAATGAATTTATTTTATCACCCCGCGTTGAAATTTAACGTCGGAAATCAAACGTACGTTTAAATTTTGCAAATTTGCGAATGAGATGCGTAACGGGGAAGAATGAGCCCGTGCTAATCGTTGGCGTTCGTCGCTGGTCGACAATTGACGAAGTACAGATTGTGTGAACAGGACAACAGGTTCCGAAGAAATCAACGAGATAAATGTTGCGAGAAATCAACAGTAGAATGTTTGTTGTTGTCCATAAGGGGTGCATTGATAAAGTTTGTACCGAGAGCATGCATAGCAAAAGCCTTTATAACAGTAAACGGCGCAGTTACGTCGGAAGATATCAATAAATAACAGTGGTTATATATATCACGTTACACACGCACGCAAATGACGCAAGCCATTTTCTATTTTATTTGTTATTATTATTAAAAATTGTTATTAACAAACGCTTGCTGTGAGTTTGAACAAGTCATTAATTTTCTTCTAGTAACATAATATTAAGTACAGGTGAAAGTGTTCTTTTTCGAGATTCTGGTCCTTCCAGATAGGCAGTTGCGATATATCGATATTTTCGATAAATATCGATATTTCAAAAATATCGATCAGTATTCGATATTCGATTTTCCGCATAACGAAAATATCGAAAGTTGTAACTAAACAACTTAATCTCTAATTATTCGGCAATTATTGTTTTCACCGGTGAAGTTTAGCCGACAACGTGCGTATGGCGGCAATTGCGAATTTATGATACAAGTGCGTGGGCAATTGAAATTAAAAGCGAAAACAGAGGAACTGTGAACACAGAAGATCACCTAGCCTCCGTAACGTATAGACCGTGTTTCGCTCCCCCGAGACGAAACAAGATCATCAAGCAGCGGCACTGAACGTTTGGAAACAATAGTTTTGTGATGACTCTAGATAAAGATGGAATTCGCAATAATTTGCATAATAATGTTAGTGACGTGGATCGACGCAAGTTTAAAAACAAGGTATCAAAATAACGCAGCTCATTAAAACTCGTTATTCTGTTAAATATCTTTGAGATGTACCATGACTTGTTTCATGCACTTTTTAACTGTTTGTGATGCGTATATATGCAAGTTGACTACATTGCGTTTTCTCATTTGCATAATTCGATATAAATTTTTTCTGTGTTGGTGTGTTGTACTCAGGTGAATAATATGTTTGCGATGTTATTCTGAGTGCATATCCACACCGGGCGAGCTTGAAAAATGTGCCCGCCGCCACGGTGGAATTCGAACCTACGACCTTTGGAACACCAGCCCAATGCTCTTCCAACTGAGCTACGCGGTCAGGACGGTTCGAGTAAGTGATATTTCGGAACAGTATCTAGTTCCTTCAATACCAATGTGTTCTAGAATTGGTGTTCCAAAGGTCGTAGGTTCGAATCCCACCGTGGTCGGGCACATTCAAACTCGCCCGGTGTGGATATGCACTCAGAGTAACATCGCAAACATAATTCGATATAGTCGATATTATCGATATTTGTTTTTCGATATCGATATATCAACTTTTCAATATCGCAACTGTCTACTTCCGGAGCTCCTGGATTGGAGAATGCTCGTTATCTGAAGGTTTTTCACGTAAAGACCTTTGAGTTGACTATACTACTGTATGTGTACGTTATCGTAAATTTTCTTAGATTCTGTACTTGGTGCACGCCATGCATTTTCTTAGATTCTGTACTTGGTGCGTAAAATTGTACGTCCACGGTGCACCTATTTTTTAACCCCTGGATGATGTCATCAAGTTTAATTAATAAGAGATCTAGAACTAAATTTAACTCCAAAATGAAAAATTTAAGATTGAAAATGTCAAGAAACACATTTTTATGCAAAATTCGTACGAATTTCAGTCAAATTTTGTCCAAACCTCTGTAAGAAGTGCTTCTTGGCGTTTTCGATTTAAAATGTGTTGTTTTGGTGCTAAATGTTTGCTTTAGTAGTATTCTGAATGCGTAACGAGCTAACTTGTGGGTCCACACAGGGACGTCGCTATAGGGGGTGAACCCCCAATAATTCAAACGTTGGTCAAAGTTGGTCAAAATGGAACTGATATTTGCTTAAAATTGAAGGTAAAACTCGGAAATATTTGGTCAAAGTTTATGAAATTGTTCGCAATTTTAACAATTTTAAAATTATGTTTGCGGTGAAAAAATTGGAAGCCTTGCTTATCTTGTTCGAAAAATATTGAATATGCTGATGTTATGTTATGTTATGTTATGTTAGCCCGGAAAAGTTTTTTCCAACCATGCTTATTTTAGTCCGGAAAATTTTTGTAAACAAAACACGCGCATGAGCAGAACGAACTTGACAGCCTCTTTAAATGTAAAATTTCAAACATAAGCTACATGTATGCTCATTGTGTACAGTATGCATACCACAATCTTGTAGCAGAGATTTATTTTAGTATAAGACTTTTCAAACATCCAGTTGTCAATTTGGCCACTGTTACATGATCGATTTATATATCAGTACATATGATGGTGTAAGAATAGTATTGTGTAAGAATGTGGCGAATCCAAATGGGTCGTTCCAGACAGGCGCGTAGCCAGCCCCATACGAATGGGGGGGGGGGTCTAAAGTGCCAAATACATAAAAGTACTGTTCTAAAAGCCGGGGACATGGTCCCCGGAAAATTTTTCAATTTTAAGGTTAGCGAAACGCTCCCACGTGCATATTTGGAATGGCCTTTTGGTGATCTATATGTCACAGATTTGGTCTATTTTATGCCATAGATGAAATATTTACGAGATTAACAAAGCATGTGCGTAAAAAACTAATAATATAACACGTCAAATTAATAGATAAAGAAAGTTTTAAGAACTTATTTTGTGTTTTTTTGTTGTTATGTACTCAGGTGAATAAATATGTTGTTTGTGATGTTACTCTGAGTGTGCATCCACACCGGGCAAGCTGAAAAGTTAGCTTGGGCACGGTGGGAATCGAACCCACGACCTTTGGGATACTAGTCCAAGTTTTAAGAACTTGTTATTAAGTTGAGAAATGCTTTAATACATTCTAAAATCACTTTCCTTTTGAAACGATACACATATTATACAACATTTACGTACACGAACGGGAATCTAATTTGTGTTCCGTTTTCAGAAATATAACTTTGCATCTAACTTTTAGATTACACGAATTAATATATTATAGTGGAAGTTTTCTAGGCTTCAAAGCAAATGTATCGACAAGAGAATGCAACTTAATATCTTCGGCTACATCTCTTTCGCTACTAGCAAGAACCAAGCTCTCAAGTCGATCTTCACCCATGGTTGCTCTCATGTAATTGTTGATAATTTTAACTTTGCTGTGGCATCTTTCTCATGAAGCTATTGTAACTGGATTTGTGGCCGCAATACAAATGATTCTGTGAAGGTTTAGGTAAAGGTCAGCGTGATCAGTGATCACTTTCACCAAACTTCTTTAATATTAATGTAAGGTAAGAAATCTTTTACCCCTCTTTCTGCATCAAACTGCGGAAGCATCCAGACTCTTGGAACAAAGAATATTCCCGACAGGTTCCTTCTTCTGGAATTTTGTATCTTCTTGCCAAATTCCGCACCTTTTCTATATTAGAGACCTTACAATTTTAGGACGGCAACGCGACGACGACGGCCAAAACAAACTCTTTCAAATAAATGGTAGTAAAGATAATTCGTCGTATATTAGGCTATCAATCGTATGAATTTAATACAATCTTAGAAGTTGAAGACATGGGTTTTATGGTTGGGAAGAATTCTGCTGAACCCAGTTTGAAGTTGCACCTGTTGCGGTTTGAAATGCGGCCGTTGTATCAAGACGTGAAAGTCTGTGATTTGGCGTTGTAAACAGAGCGAGGACAATGACTAAATTATTCATATATTGTAATTACTCAATTCGTTTCAATAATTTGTACCGTATACCAATACTGAAAATCGCCTCCTCAGCTCCCCCGGCAGCAGACCAAGCAGACAATAGTAAAAATCAGTGCGTTTTGAGTTGAGTTGAGGAGGCAACTTGGTGACTGAATGATACATCAAGCAATGTTTGTCCATCAGCTAGACAATTTGGAAGCGTTCTACGGCGTTTAATTTGTTGCTGGGATCTCTATACGAATCTTCAACGTGAAATTCGACTGCCTTGGATTCAGCAGTATGCACAAACTCGGCAAATTATTCCTCATTCCGGAAGAAGAAAATCTGGTGATTAGTGCAGTTACCGCATCCACAGCGGTCACTAAGTCCATTTCCTCTCTTTGAAGATATTCTGAAGTGTTGCATCAAACTAAATTGTACAATATAACATACTGGATAGCCTGCGAACGCCAATACGCAATTATTTCAATTTAATGACGACAGTTGATTTCTTTAAAAATATTCGCAACTTGCACACCCCCCTAGTTTCTTCCCACTTTTGGAAGAATTACAATATTGATCTTTACAAAAAGGGGGGGGGGGGGGGTCCGGACCCCCCATTCCCCCTCTTGGCTACGCGCCTGGTTCCAGAAAAGATCCATACTCCCCCCACAGAGAAAATTTCTGCCGTTCGGAGGGGGAGGGGAGAAAAAATTGTTTCTGATAATAGCAAATGTATTAGGACATCCGAAGGGGGTAGGGGGGTTAACTTCTTATTTCCTCCGTGGGGGCGGTATGGATGTTTTCTGGAATGACCCAATAACAAATCTTGTCGTCATGGTCATGCTTGTAGTCAAATCTAAAGCTTTCTATTTTGGCCTGCAGGGATATTTACCTTTTTGGCCATGGGCTATAGCAAAGTATCTCTTTCCTTGCAGGGTGGAGACAATGTCCGCTCCTGTGCACATGCACGAACTTTGTTTACGTTTTGAACTGCTATATTTGTAAAATATGATATACTAACTGAATATCTAACATTTTTCTGGTTAACTATACTTGTAAATGAATATAAACTATACGTTTCAATTCAAAAAAGTTTGAAAGGTGCAAAATTTGGGCAATGTTTATATCTGGAGGTCCCCCTTTGTTATGAGCAGAACTGATGTGCAGAACGGAGTGGACATAAGGTTAATTGTGACAGTGTCCACTAACAGGGGTGGAAAAAATAGGCGAGCGCTGCCCTGTGGCCACTAACCTGACAACAAGCTTTGGCTAGAAACGTAATGAAATATCCCTATCAAATATCCGCAGGTTTGTGTCAGGCTCTATTTGTAAAATTATAGTGCTTAATACTCGGGCTGCACAAATGAAATTTGTCACGATAAAGTGAGCTAACTTGGGTAGCCAGGCTATGCCTTGCAGAAAAATTACAATTTGAGCAACATAGGCATATAAATATTAAACATCTATAAAGTATACTGTACTAGTTTCATATTAATCTGACACTGCAATCGAGCAAAGAAAAATGCGTTGGCTCGAGCGGGATTTGAACTCGCATCTTCGGGTATCTAGACCGCCGCTCTACCTATTGAGCTATCGAGTAGAGCGGCGGTCTAGATACCCGAAGATGCGAGTTCAAATCCCGCTCGAGCCAACGAATTTTTCGTTGCTCGATTGCAGTGTCAGATTAATATGAAACTAGTTTTCCTATCTCTGAGGATGGTTCTGAAAAAGAAGTGTACTGTACCTTTAGCAAGTTGGTCCACTCTGGCTCGGTGTAGTGCAATCTTATCTTCATATTCTTTTATATTTTCTATATTTTGAGAAAATAATACCATAGGTACATAAAATTCTTAATACGGATGCAAATAAAATTTTATGTAGTCTATTTGGGTTTCATTTTTGGATACCTTGTCCGCGTTCAATGTCATGCAAGTCTTGCTGATTTCTAAGTTTTATTAGATTATCCAGCGTCTCGCCAGTCCATTCGTTTAAAAACTTCTGTTTGATTTGAGAAAGCTTAGATTTAAGTAAGTCCAGCTCTTCTTGACGTTCTTGCTCAGGTTTTCTCTCCATATATAGTTTGATTTTGTTTATACTGAACAGCAAAAATAAAACAAAATTTAAAGATGGCGCCTAAATTTTGAAATGATTTTGATTTTATGTCACGTGACATATGCTAAATTAGCGGAAACGCGGATCGCCGGATACCGTTTATTTTTGTAACGAAAAAAAATAAAGTCCATTAAAATGACGGGCTGTATAAGTTAGAAAATAGCGGGATTCGGGACTTTAAGCGGCTATTTACATGATCCCTATATGTTTGTCGGGACGCGATGGAAGGCAGGGTGATTTTGATATGTTGACTATAGGGAGTTTCCGGGAACGGCACTACGGCAAGTTCGAACTTTCTTGGCAAAATTTTCGTTGAACGTTTTCGTTTCATATTTTCTTTCTTGCGTCGAAAGAATAATTATCTATTACAGTTTTAAAACAGCAAGTTCATTTACTCTTTATTGCTTGATACTGTAAAATGTTTCTTTGCCTGGCGTTTGCCGTATAACGCGAAGCTTAAACTCTCTATTGAAATAAGTCATTAGGCTTAAACGAAAGTTCAAACGTCAGTTAAAGGAACTGAAATGTTGTGGAGAAGATCTCGTAGTTCAAGAAGGTTGTAATAGCTGCTTGAACAACCTTTCGTTTGCAACTATACTACAATCTATAATTAAATAGGAAAATAATGTAGTCTGAATCATGCATGAACGGTAACGTTCTTAATTCTACCCGCCTCTTATCTCGTCCCGGCAAAGCGGGATAATGTAAACCATAGGTCTCCCGAAAAGGTCTTTTATTTTTAAAAGAATCCATAAAATCGATTTAATTTAAAATGTAATGCTAATTATTGTCGCTTGATTAAGTACTATTTAAAGCACGCGTAGGAGTGTTTTATTAGATATAAAACGCTTGGCTTAAAAAATGACTCATCTTATATGAGTTCATTGGCGAAGTAATTTTTAAAATAAACTTTGTCTAAACCGAGAAAATCAAAGCTAAAGTTTATGTAAATTAACATGATTTTTTATCACATATAAAGATACGACACGCTTATGATTTTTCTTTGTGTTTTCCTCCTGAATTATTAATGAGTTTTTTAATTACACTAAAACCTCTATAATTCGTATTACACTTTAAAAGTATATTTTACGCAGTGCATGCGCATAGCGCTGCATCATTTGGACAGACGGGAGAAAATAAGTCGCGACTTGATTAATTTAAGACGCGACTTAATTTCTCTCGTATAAATGGCCTTATTATGTAGATTCAGAAACTCGGTGTGACGTCCCTTAATCTAAGAGTTTGTTTGACGTGGGACGAAAAATTGTACGAAAAACATGCGGAATAGGAACGTATTGAGCACCAACCTCGTACCCAGGGCATTTTGCTTCCGGTCAGCGAAAATGGCCCTGGCATCGGCCGGTCACATGACCTCAAAATCTCCAGTATTTGGGGTGTTCAATTATGATAATTTATGCGTATAAGTACGTATATAGAATAATGATATACATTGTAATTACTGACAGGAGTAAACAAACTCAATGCTGCGTATATATAATCAAAGGGAAAGCAACGAAATAAGTTAACTTTATTCGGTTTTCGTTGTTTACACCTCATTCAGCAACATAGCCCGATCAATTCTTGCTCAATTCTTAATGAACAACCAAACAAAACAAAACCGCTTCAGCGTTTGCCGTTTGTTTTATATAAATCGTGTTATGAGCAAATATATTCGCATCACAATCTTTGACTATAAGTATAACACTGTACGTTTCTTGAAATCGACGATGTATAAACAACGCATGTGAGAAATGTATGTTGAAACGAATCAAATACTTGTCTATACAAATGTACAAAGACTTAATTTTAATTTACTCAATACTTTAGTCCTTCAAGAACTAATGATAAATTTGTCACTCCACTCTCGTTTCACCAAAATAATAATTATTTCCCCCGTATATTGAATAATTATATTCAAAATCATTGACCAATCAGATTCCAAAACAGACCAGCCGATGCCAGGGCCTTTTTCACTGACCATCCGACCGAGGAAGCAAAAAGCCCTGGGTACGAGGTTGATTGAGCACAGAATTCGGAAATTAAGAACCCGAGGAAATTAAGAACCTTTTCATTGTTTTAAAGCCTGTTTTAAAGTAAAGAGTTGGAGAGTTGAAACAAACCAAGAAATATTATTTCCACAACAGCCAGGGCCGTAGCTAGACGCGATAATTGGGGTGGTGTATATTCATATATTCATGTTTACATACCGTAAAAACAATCGCTTTTAAAAGAAATCCGTCGGGCAGAACACGAATATATGAATATGCATCCCCACCCCCAATTACTGGTCTAGCTACGGCCCTGGCAACAGCAATACACTTGCATGGCCAGTAGGGATACATTCAATGGGCGAAACAGCAAAATCTTAAAATGATTTCGCAACAACGTTACAAGATAAGTAGATAACTGTCGCTAATCATCCAGTACGAGAGACTTAAGCGACAGGGGACAAGTCAGAGTTAGTAATGGCTATCATTAATACTATCCCAGCCATTCCCTGGCTATGTTTATGCCCACATAACATTTTTTGCCCGATCATTCGTCTGCGTCGATTACAGCAACAAGACACCCCTACTCAATCTCATCACCCTCTGATGCATTTTCTCTCAGTTCGCCTTGAATAAGAAGCCCAGAATGAGCCTGAGGAAGAAAGAGGAAGTACCAGAACAAAACTTGCGGTGTTTGGTAGAATTAAAATGAATCTTACGTGCGTCTGAGTTGAAATTATAATCACACACTTACACAGTACAACGAAAAATTCGTTGTCTCAAGCGGGATTCGAAGTTGCATCTTCGGGTTTCTAGACCGCCGCTCTACCACTGATCTGTGCGCTTTACCCATCGAGTCAACGGGGACTGGTAGCAGTCTTATCCAATTATTTAAGCCTGGTTCACACTAGCAATTTTGTCGGCGATTTTTCTCCTCGTGGAAATGTGATCGGATGAATGACATGCAAAAGAATTGTTTTCTTCTGAAAAGCGACTCTGATACTTTTGTGTCCGGATTTGCATCCGTCAGAAACACAAAATCGTCGACAAAATTGCAAGTGTGAACCAGGCTTTAAGTGCACGAAATATTTTCGTGACGACTTAAAGCTTGTCTTAGAGGACGCGCAGTTTTTCAATATACAATTACTTAATGGTTTCCGTGTTTGGATGACCTGCAGGATCCAAACACGGGGGAATGTTGCGAGAGTTAAGAAAAGCGCGCGAACACGAGCCAAAGGCGAGTGATTTTGCGCGCTTTTCTTAACTCGAGCAACATTCCCAAGTGTTCGGATCAGGCCATCCAAACACGGAAACCATAAAGTAATTGTTTTATAAAATAACAACTTTTCATGTTAAAATTTCACTTCAATTTTAAAAAACTTTCACTTTAAATTTCCGTGTTTGGATGGCCTGATCCAAACACGGGTTTCGACCAATCAGAGCACGCGTTATATACATATTATTTTATATATAATTCTATTTCAGAACCATTCTCAGAGATATGAAAAACTAGTTTAATATTATTCTGACATTGCAGAGGACAACGAAAAATTGGTTGTCTCAAGCGGGATTCGAACTCGCATCTTCGGTTTCTAAGTCGTCACGAAATATTTTTAAATTGGATAACACTCGCTACCAATCCCCGTTGACTCGATAGCTCAATGGGAAGAGAGGCGGTCTAGAAACCCGAAGACGTGAGTTCGAATCTCGCCGCTTGAGACAACGAATTTTCCGTTGTACTCTGCAGTGCCAGAAATATGAAACTAGTTTTTCATATCTCTGAGGATGGTTCTCAAATAGACAATTTACATATTGCAAGAATGGGACAGTCACATCTACTACATCATTAGCTAAAGTTGATTATATAGCAATATTCGGCACTGAAACCCATACCTAATTTTAAGAATTTTTTATCACTGCACATTTTTGTGCAAACTTTAGCCGAGCAGAAGCCACGCCCTCAAAATTTGTGAACACATCCTTTTAATGTGTAACCAAAAGACAGGCTACAATTGATATATAAAATGATCCCAAAATCAACATGCACTGCAAAGCGCCCAGGGTTCCCCAGGGAAATTTGGGGGCCCAGGGCAAAAATTGAGTTGTGGCCCCTCCTGATTCCATCTTCTAACACTATGATTAAGAGGAACTGGGAGCATTCTCCTGGGAAAATTTTGAAATTAACTCAGGTCCCAGAAATGGCCAAATCCTGCATTCTGGAAGTTTGGTGGTAGTTATACCTATGTTTCAATGTAATTCTTTTTTGGGCCACCTTTAACTAGGGTCCAGCGCAAATTGCCCCCTCCCTCTGGGCGGCCTTGACAGCACCTGCTGTTACGACTTTCTATGACAGCGTAGTTTGATAATCATATGCTTGCAGGAACGAAAAATTTTCGTCTTGATAAATAAGAGGCGGCTTAGATGTGATAAACTGTGAAAGAGTTCCTGGGGCATGCACCCACAGAAAATTTTGTACTAGCCTCTCTCAAAGGGCCTTTTTGTCAATGTGCGGGGACATTCTATAGAATCCTGAAGATTATATACTAATACAATTACAAAAAGTTAAGTATCATTCACTCCAACATCCAAGCTCATAAAGAGATAGTCGGATCTTTGATGGGAGACTTTGTTCATTTGATCAACCTTAAGTATAATATTAGTGCTGACGTTCGATAATTTGGCATCTTTTATTTCAATTTCATTCAGAATATTCTCATTCAAAATGATTATTAATACTTTCTAGTGACAAGACAAGTTTTTAGTTCAGTTTTTTCTGCTTGTTGCCTCATTTTCTTCATATAATTAACAAATTATCACAGCAAATTTTATCACTGCACATTTCATTTTTATCACTGCACAAATTGGTTATCACTGCACACTAGAATTAGGTATGCTGAAACCTGTAATCGGCTTGACAAATCGCAGAAGTGTATTGCGTCACAACTAGCTTTACTGAAATATTCAAAACTTAGTGTCAGATTTTTGTGGATTGTCAACTTCATTATGAACATCGTTCTCCGTGTTTCTTGTAGTTTGTACGGAATTGACATCCCCAATGGTCTCCAGCGTGTCTTGTCCCTGGGTCTCAGGGAGTAAAAATGCAAGGCAAGCGGACTTCAAACACATTAATCCCATGATTCCAAACGGTAGTAATGGATGAATGCGAATCTAAAAAGTAGCATCAATGGTATACGCGGTAAGAAGAGTTAACGGACAGCAAAATAACTGTTGGTTGTCGTGTCAACTTAAGAGGTTGATCCAGATACTGCATGACCGCAACATATGATGAATTAAATCATCCTGCTTAAAGTTAAGAGTGTGTGCACAAATTAAAGGACATGTGTAAAATACGTGCTAGTTAAAGTTCAATCAGTTGTCTATTGTCTCTTGTTAACTAACAATATTTTCTAAAGCGTTCCAATCTAACGCCAGAGCAACTGCGCAAGCCAGGAGTCTCTTCTCCCAAACACGCTCCAGATGTATAGAGAGCCTGGCTTGCGAGGTTGACGCCAAATAATTTTCCTCGTCTCGGAAAACGTGTTAACCATTCGCAATCTTCACTACCCATGTTTCTATAGTTAACCCATGAAGCCGCAATGTGCCCCAATTATGCACCATACTTTGCTCGTCAAGAGTGGGTAACATATTATATCATTAATAGTTGAATCGTGCTATAATTTTGACCAATTTACATAACAAAATTATTTGACTTTACTCACCAACCAAATGACGTAACTAGCAGTAAAAGATCCCAATCTCCCAGATGCTGAAGCTGTGCTTAAAGCCATTGATCTATAAAGATTAAATGTGCTTGTTGAAATGACAGAATATATTATATCCCAAGTGCTAGATATATTACTTCTTAATGTGACAAGTAGGTTGGGGAAAGTGCATGGAATGCTTTAATACAGCAAAATGTTTCAGCAAACGCATTTGACTATTGTCGGACACTTTCACTGAAAATACTAGTAATTAAATCTATTTACATGATCTTGCGTCAGGTGTTTCAGTCTTTGCTAGGTGGGTTTGGTCCTCCCCTCTCTGTTTTAGTTGGAAAACCAAGGCTACGTCTCTGCATTTCATTCTTCTTGCTGTAGAAAATTGGGCTCATCCGTTGATGTATACTGTGGGTCATGCAGTGTTAGCGTGCGATTCGTTTGAAGTAGCTACTTACCGTAAAAATGTTGGAAATATCTCGACAATCCAAAGATAAATACAAGCAAATGAAATGTTAATAAAAAGCTTTGCCAGGGCTGCCATTGCTATACGACCGGCAATAAAACCTGTAAAAATGTTTTGATTATATTATTACGTATACAGGATTACGCCTAAATGGTATACATGTAGCCTTTAAAGCAAGCATCTAGGTGATCACGATTTGTATTTAACAGTACCAACATAGTATTTTTTGTACGATTGTATATGATGTAACTACCTGAGATCAGTTGTATAAAACTCTTAACCGCGTTTTAACCACTATTTTGTTGTTAAATAGTAGTTAACTCTAAAATACACGATTTTAATTGGTTAACTTTCGCGGCACTAACTGTATAGTTGGCGCCTGAAAATATAAAAAAACTTCGACGTTTTCAACTAAGGCCCTTCGTTTGAATTAGAAATTACAGTACATCAAATTCTAATATAAACAATCCATTTGGGAAGAAATTGTACCCTGGGTTTCAGGGCTTACGAGATTTTCTTAGCTAGGGTTGCTATACATGTAATACAATAATGAAAATCTCTGACACATAGGATAACAAAACCAAAAAACCTGGTAAAAATAGGACTTTCTGCATAACATTGATTGAAAAACTAATAGACATCACGAGCCCACCACCAAGGGTGATCTCAGAGATGGAAAATGATTGCTCTAAATGCATCACTGATTAAGGGCCCAGTTACACGATACCGCATTCGCTTGTCCGCACAACATCGAATTTTACCGTTTCGGGAACCATATGCGATTATATGACAAAATAAGATGAAAATTGTCAAGGGGGAATATTTTATGCATGGGAGGACTGTATTCCTGAGCGGCATATGTTCATGTCGTATCAAGTGAATCTGGTACTGTGTACCGTGTACGAGTGCCCAAGCTGAAACAGGGTCTTTAATTCATAAAGTGCAAGGGAGCCTAATACTTGACACAGGGCGAAAAAAAAAATTTGCACTAGGCTTTGCAACCCGGTGCAAAGGTGCCATTGCCGTAATCGCATCAAATTTGCAAGGTTGCAAATATTTTGGCAAATTTAGAAACCAAATTATGGACGTAAATACCCACAAATTCACTTGTGCAAATGAAAGGTAATTTGAGCCAAATTTACCTATACCCATTCCCTCTCAAAAAAGAGAATTGTATTTACCAATATGAGGGCAAAAATCTATTTACCAATTTGCTTTCCAAATTTGAACAAAATTTGCACAATAGCAAATTTGATGCGATTACGGCAATGGCACCTTTGCAGGGGGTTGCAAAGTTGGTGCAAATCTATTTTTTCGTCCTGTGTGAGGCATTTAAATTTGTTTTACCTGTGTTAGATCTATCTTCCGGGATTGATATTGCCACAATAGATGCGACACAAGACACTAACAGTCCTACAATGGTGCTCTTCTTTCGACCGAACCTATCGAACAATATAAACGATAGATAATGTATTCAACAATACAGATGGGTAAGAATAAGATGCTACAGTAAATATTAAGTGTTAGATCAGTGACAGCCAAAAAAAAAAAATGTTGCTGATTTTATGAATTTTACCTTCCTCTATTAGGCTACCCATCTCAAATATTTTTTGTATAAACATATCTAATATTTAATAATGGCGTTTACCCAAGAGCATTTCTGAGCTAATCGAGAGGCTACAAATATGCTCCACCCCCTTCTGCGGGAAGCCCCCTCGGTATTAACCTCTCCCTCAACAACAAAGGGACACACGATACTGATTATTAGACTTCTTCACTGGCCTGGAAGTTCAAGTTAGTGTAAAGCGTTTCTTACTATTTTACTGCGCGTCAGCTAACTCAGTGAGCCCCAAATTTTTTTGAAAATTTCTTTCCAGTTTTCTTGAACCAATAGACCTTTCCCTTTATGAGTGAAATTTTGATCTAGATATGCCTGGACAAAAACTTCATCACAGCTTGAAAAAGCATCACAAAATTAGTAATATTCCGAAGTTTTGTTGCGAAATGTTGTAAAATACGGATAATATAGCTTTGCGAAGTTTGCCGTTTTTCAGTCATTTTGTATTACAAGGTCTTACAAGTCATACAAATGGGAAATTGATAATCAGTTTGATTATCTGATTATCAATATTTTCCCGTTTGTAAAATGCAAAATGACTGAAAAATGGCAAACTTCGCAAGGCTATATTATCCGCATTTTACTGACATTTCGCAACGAAACTTCGGAATATCACTAATTTTGTGATGCTCTAATTTTGTCCAGACTTGTCTAGATCAAAATTTCACTCAAAAGGGGAAAGGTCTATTACCTCCTATAATTGCCCTTTTCATCTCTCTATTTATTAAGCCCCTTGCCCTTGCATGCGTATCCGAAGAAGACTTGCACTTTATATTAGTGCATGGTTCAGCACTTATGCCAATGGTAGAGATTTACAGTATGATATTCATGGTGAAACTAAATTAAATTTATCAATGACGCTATAGCTTACCTCTCAGCGGAAAATACAGCAAGATAAACAGCTGGGATCTCAACAAGACTGGTCAAAGCAAACGTGAGATATCTATCCCAGCCCAGATCGACTGATCCATAAGATACCCCGTAGTAGACAAGGGCTACTGTGATCCTGTAATTTAATTCAAATATGTTTTAATGATTTAATATGTATTTAAAACAGCTTTAGTTTTCTATAATATGAATAACGAAATTACTGTATTCTAATTGGTTAATTCTAATACAAGTACGTATTTCATGATAAATAGTCTTTAACGTCGAAGAGTTTTTAGTCTTTT